ACTCGGAGTCAAGTGACTCGGATGATTCAGACTCAGACGTTGACAGTGATCATGAATATAAGTGGCGCGACAAGAAGAGTGGGAAGAAGAAGAATAGGACAGATAGCAAGAAGCCGGTAGAAGCAAAGCTAGAGGAAGACGAAGCTCGGAAGCAAGCAGAGGTAGAAAAGCTTATCAAACAGATGAGCACTATGTCTATCCACGACCCAGCGTATAGTGTGTTATACTTCCGGGCTAAAAAGATGGACGAGGCCGTAGTAGGGGTCGTAGGTGCACCAGCTGCGGTTGCACCAGCATCTCATCTCATACAAGAGATGAACAGCATGCGCGCTCAACGTCCAATGATGAATGGACCACCTTCACAACGGAATGATCGATCCTCATTCAACTCGGCTACCACTTGGCCAAACAATATAGACTCTAGGGGAAATAGTCGGATCATGTGTTATGGGTGTGGGGAGCCAGGACATAGGATGAACTTTTGCCCTAAAGTACAACAGTACATTGAACGGGGATTAGTTAAGTTCCAAGATGGACGGATGGTGCGGAGTGACGGATCACCTATTGCAAGAGGTTACCAAGAACCGATAGTGAGAGCATTGGAAAGAACATTTCCACGAATAAATCTGGTGACTATACCATATGAAGTAGGATTCTTGGAGCCAGAAAGTACAGATACTGAGTCAGAGTCAGAGTCAGAGACCGAAAAGGTCAATGATGACCAGGAAGCAGTAATCTATATGGCTCGCGAAGGACTGCAAAGTGGAGATAGGAACCTGAGAAGCTCTCGAAAAGGTGTCCAACCATATCCCAAAGACAGCAGCCGACGATCATCACCAAAAGCTTGGGTGGGCAAGAAACCACCAAACAATAACCAAGCACAAACAGAAGGGCCATCCAAGTCGACTCAATTTGGGACGCATCCTGTGGATGAGTTCAATAGAGTATTTCAACCAGAAGACCCAGACGCAGTAATGGAAGACATATCCAATCCGCATGAACAGCCACAAACAGTATCCAAGGACAAACCTCTGACTGATAAGCAACTAATGACGCAGGCGGGAACTAAGTCAGGCCCAATGACATCTACTAATATGCGGGAGGTTGACAAGAACCTGGTATACCAAAAACTGCAGAATGCAACGGTCGAGCTCACTCATAAAGAGATATGCACAATCGCCCCTGAGATAGCTAAGCAAGTAATTGCGGATAACAAATTACAACGGTCAGCAAATGAGGATGGAATACAGCCTACTGTGGCCCGTGTGGTAGGATCAGAACCTAATAAAGGTAGGATGCCAATGCGGATGAGTGACGTACGAGAAGGACTCATACAGCTGGATATGGAGATCAATGGCATAACGGTACCGGCAATTATCGACACTGGATCACAACTCAATGTTGTGCACAAGTCAGTGTATAACCAAGTTATACGGCTCCCTCTGGATAAGTCTCAAAAGATGCCAATGAAGGATGTAAATGGTGGAGTCGGAGAACTTGTAGGACTAGTGCCCAGTGTCAATATTGACTATGGAGCTGCGCGCACAAAAGCACACCTATGGGTATCAAAGACCATAGATTTCCCATTGCTCCTTGGCCGTCCCTGGCAGAAAAAGAACAAGATCAACATAGAAGAGAGGGATAATGAAGAGACTTACATTGTATTCAAGTACCCACACCTGGGAACAGAGCTAGAAGTGCGAGTCTCACCAGAATCTAAAGACCCAGCCCGAGTTATGCCTGCCCAAACCGGAGACACCGGCTTCCAAGCAAGCCAGAGCGCAACACGCAAGCCCGGGCATTCCTGGTGGCATGAGAATCCCCTTGTGCCATGTGTGTTGAGTGCACGCATTGTGGCACCGCCTCTGCTTATGTCAGCACCAGCCTCTGAGAATGCGGCTCAGTCGCCAGTCCCATCAGCTTGGTCCCACATCACCGCTGCCAATGCTGCAGCTGCTGCTCACTCTTATCGCATTGTCAATCGCCAGCAACATATCAACAACGATGACTATGAAGTTCCCGGAACCCCTGATACTGCAGAACGGGAGGCATATGAGCACGCAATCGCACATGCTTTGGGTCCGCCACCGCTAGCATCTATGGCACCCTCAAGACCACCCTCGCCTCCATCCGTCTCCAGCACACCGTCCCACAGGGATTTCACTTATGGATACCTTGCAGAAGACGAAGCAAGCTCGTACAGAAGCACGGATGATGCAATCGAGCACAACAATGTCACAACCGGTGAAAACAATGATGCTCATGCTGACATCGACTACGCCGATACAGCGCCGAGCCCACGGTCTGCAACACATTCCTGGCCAACAAGAAGTGGCAAAGAATGGGTGCAATATACCGAGGGGCCTGCCGAGACAATGGCCACCGTCATTAAAGAACGACCAATGGTACGTCGTCAACATGACCAGGTTCTGACGTCTGGAAGTTCAAGTACCCTCTCAACTGAAGAGGAGACATCAGAAAGTCGACAACACGGGACACTAGAATACGAGACTGGACACCAAAACAATGGTGCGGCCAAACGTCAGGGCCCACAGGTACGTCTGGATGTTGCGAACATGTTGCCATCCCGAAACAAACGGGATCAGTCTGACACAAGTGCAGAAACAAGCTTGGTACCCACGTGTACTCCGAGACTAGAAGAGACAATAGCTAAACTCGAAGAGGTTAGTACGACCGCTGTTTCAGATACGGGTATGGATGAGACCTTGGGTACTAACCTAGGGCAGGAACGGCACGATCACGATGAAGAAGACCAATGTTTGAATAGCCAACATGCAAGTCCACTAACGATCGGCTGGCCGCCAGATACACCCATCTGGCAGCTGCCGAACTGGCCTGAAGATGAACGCGGGTCAGTGCTACGTGATGTAAGTATTGACTTCCTCAACATCGAGAATCCACGCGTTTGGACACGTCGCCGAGCTGACCTTCCAGGATGGCAGGCTATGCGGAACTTAATCCAGACAGAGGCGTCTCCGTCATTTGAAGTACGTCATGTGTTTGGTATGTTTGAGGCCAATATCGAAATTCATCAAGCTCTACAAGCTCGACTACACCTAGCTATATCGCTACCGGAGGAACCGGAAGAGACTCAGCTGAGTACCAATAACCCGGCTCTCAGCTGCCCAATCAGTGATGACCCAACCGGCAGATATCCGCCCTGAAGATTTACCAGTACCGAGCTCGAGCTATTGACAAATACTGCGATCCGATCAACTCAAGTAGTTCAGTAGCATATTGAATTCCTGTTGCTCGTGGATCATGTACTTCTTGCAAATGGGATATAGTGTTACATGGTAACCCGAGTGACTCGGAAATAGCCATAAGCACGAGTTTGCAGGAAGTACAGCCAATCTGAAGACTTAGGACGATCAACAAATCTGGGACTTCACCTCAAAAAGGGACTTGTCACAATTCACGAGTGGACTTCAACTCGAGAAGTGCCACCCACACCACGTTGTCATTCAGACATAGATAGGTTAATGATGGAGCCCATGTTGCAAAGTCACCGTGATACAATTACAGCTGCATCGAGCGCTACCAAAGGAGATGATGAGTGGATGGCGGTAGTAGGGATTGGTGATATATCAGACGTAAACTCTACGGATTGGGATAGGGGCAGTGTTCCAGTATGTAGCCTTCTGGACAAGGACGACACACAGCCAAGTTATGTCAATAACGTTCGATCAGGGTCGCAGACAGAATACAATTGTTCAAGTCACAATTGTGTTCCACAACGAGCACACGACAAAGGAATCCACCCTGCAGCTGTTTTCAGAGTATACAGAAAGGTAGACTGTGAAGTTAAGCCAGTGCCTGGTGTCTATCCAGAGGATGCTGAAGTTCTCCAACAATTTCCACGAGACCCACTCTTAACCTGGTAAAGTTTCCAACTCATCCACCGGACTTCACGCCCACGACCCGTATCACCAAGGAATGAAATGAAAGGCATGGAAGTGAACTCAGATGGCTACATGTGGCAGGAGGAAGAATTAGCACGGGATGACATACCGGATGAAGTAGATGACGAAGCACAGGAAGCCTATGATGGCGCATACTCAGAAGAGGAAGAGAACATAGAAGAGACATGAGTCAGCAACTAGACAACAAATGTGGGAAGCATTATCTATATATAGGCAAGGTGTTCAACCAGTATATAAGAAGCGGCAGCTACCACAAGCAACAAGTCAACCATGGACGCTGCCCAGGACTCTCTCCCTGTGCTCAACTACTTCACCGCAATCGAGCAAGCCCAGAACTCTATCGTCGGGATTGATCTGCTACAATACTTGCCACTAGTCTTTCGCCCACCGAATGACACCGAGAAGTTGATTCTAGGCCATAGTGTTCTAACTTGGCCTACCGACCCTGACCCCACCGGCATGCTCCACCTCGGCACACAACTCCTTGACTATGCACTAGACGCAGTCGGAGTTCCTAGTCCACTCCTCCCACCACCGTATAACCCACACCTAGTCCCCATCTCACCACGCGACAATGACGTGTTTTATGTGGGGGCCACGCTGCTCGATATCAACAGTCCGCTCATTTGGCAACTCGAGGGGCCCATTGTGGGAAGAATGCGCATCGGCGTCCATCTGCAGATGCATGATAACGGTTGGGTCATATACGGACAGGTCACGGGAATTATGGGCATAGAGCGAGATTGCATGAGTTTTTGGATTACGGGCAACATCCACCACACCAGCGACCGCCTCATCAACGGAGACCTCAAGACCATTGTCATCCGTGTCTGTCCGCAATGGACACTCCTGTCTATCCGTCAGTGGGCTAGGTATAGACTTAGCCAACCACTCGATCGTTTGCTCAGAGCGCGTAAGCTCTTACCCAGTTATCGGCAGAATCCTCACTAATCACCTATGTAGCCGCCTTAACTGGTGTTGGACGAGTAAGACTGGATAAGGATCAATCAGGAGGATCGATGCAATGAGAAGAGGATAGATATTACAATAATCATAGACTTCATGCGACATGGTCAAGGGAATGGAGTGAACGAATATTATGGACTCTTGGATGTCACACGATAAGGTGTTGAATCAGATCACATCGAACACACCGAATGCAGCATTGCAAGTAAAGCTATACAAAGAGGTCCTAGGGCTCCCACATATCGCGACCAATGTCCAAACCACCCCAGAAATGTCCTCTCCACTTCAACCACTGCCATTCCCAAAGCTTAACATCCGAAGACTGCCAAGGGACGACGAGCCTCGAACGAACAGAAATGACCATCCCATCTTCATATGACTGAGTAGGACCATCCAACTCGTACACAACAAACCGATCGCTGACAGCGACCACCTTCTTGACGCAGCCCGTCATGTCGGTGCGGTTAACACCATCTATGGTCCAGATGTACATCCCGCGATGAACACGCTGAGTCTCCCCTACACGTTGACCAGGAGCACGCATCTTCCAGCGACCAGGCCGAACCATTCGGGAGCGTGCGTAGAGGGCATCGGGATGGGTGATAGCCCCGCTGATAAGGATGGTAGTGCGCGGCGGAGGCGACGGCTCTGAACACGATACATAGGCACAATCAGCAAGTTAATATCGGGAGGCAATGCGCGGCAATGTACTGGTAAAGAACGTAGCAGAGGAAACCCCCCCTTGCAGATACATGATACAGATAACGAGCTAGGGAGAGTGAGACACACTTAGGCCAAGAATCAAACATGCACGTGACTCGGGACAACCGGGGGCGGTTGTCATTTGAAGTGCCACCCATGATGTCCCGCCCCTAAAGCATTTAGGTGCGAGACGCGTAGAATGCATGCGGGAAACACGAAGGTAGTCTATAGATAGCCACTCACAATTACTATAGAGTACAACTTGCGTGACTACAATCATAGTAGCCGATCCTTAGATATGCTAGTTTCTTTCCCAGTACTCAGAACTGACTCATATTAGTATTTATATATTTTTTGGTAGTGTAATAGTTTTATTTATGTACACATTTGACTGTTCACTACACTATCATGATCACATATCATGTATCAGACGGTCAGAGTAGTCTAGATACACCTCAGAAAAGGGGAATATGTGGGTACTCAGACATGTTGCTATGGTAACACAGGGCTGTGCTGCAAGGCTGTGCTGATTAGTAAGCTTACTGCGGATATTAGTAAGCATGCTGCGGCGCAGCAGGCGCTTAGTAAGCCTGTGATCTGATTGGATGGAGGGGAAATGGCCAAATTAGCATAAAAGGAGGGCATATGAGCCCTTTGAGGAAATCAATTTTCACTTTCACCCAGAATCAAAGATCGATCACAGGAGACTGTAGATCAGTCTCTATTAGTATTAAGCAGCAAGAGC